CCTCATCCGTAAACTTGATAAAATGTCTATTGCAATATTGGCTGCGGCGGTCATCAGTGAGGACGGAGCACAAACCTCCAGGGGGCTACTGGATAAAAACAAGCCACCGTTAAAGGACACCGGTGACCAGAACGGACGGAAATCTGTCAGCAGATATGCAGCCTGCAGTGTTCACAGCGAACTGGAGATGTGAGCCAAGTGAGTTGGAGGCTGGAAGTAAATCCATGAACATTGCTGTGAGACGACCAAAGGTCTGTTGGGATGTTGACAGAGAAAATGGAGTAACGGGGCTGTCACATCTTTCGCTCCTGTAAACTAACAGCTTCTTTTATTTTTCAGTAGAAAGAAAATTCATTGACAATTAATCCATGCTTTGAGCTCAGTAGCATTCTAAGATTTTCAAATAATGTTTCTAGCTACTTGTATTACCAGCTGATGACAGAATTACATACAAAGGGAAGCATAACTAAAATTAAGCTTCCAGCTTAAAACTTAAGAGCATGCACCTATGTCAAACACCCAAATGATCTCTTTTGGCTCTGTTCAATGCAGAGGCGTGGCATGTCTACCCTGAGCACCTTCCAAGTGATCGAGATCCTCATTATAGCTTTTAGGCAGCACGCAGGCATCTTTCAGTAGAAGCTCATTTATGCAGTTTGTATCTAGGATCTAATTCTTTGTTTAATACCCCACACCTCTGTCCATTAGCGAAGTTAGAAATTGCTGTTGATATCCGTAGAGGTCAAACCAACATGTCTTTTGCAGGAATTGTCTTATTAATCCCCCCACCCTCAACCAGTTATGGCACATGGCTGCCCCTCCCTGAGGTTTCTTCCTGCTAAAAGGGAGTTTTTCCTTCCCACTGTCATTGAAGTGTTTGCTCATTGGGGGTCGTCTGATTGTTGGGGTTTCTCTGTATTATTGTAGGGTCTTTACCTTACAATAATAAGCATCTTGAGGCGATTTTATATAAATAAAATAGAATTGAACTGAATTAAGCAAAACATCAAACAGTAGCTTTAACCTTTTGAAGTGGAGAAATGTTGTTTTCCTATATTTGCCCAATGCTTTCTCCTAATTGGAAGGCATCTATTTATTTAATCATAAGTTCAGAAGCCAGATAAGATGAGCTGTCCAGCCAGCTCTTCCGGTTCTCCTCTCAGTTGGCATGCCTCTGAGACCTCCAAGTTTGCCTGAATCATCTCAGCTGACACCTTTCAGTGCAAAGAAGCCTCTTCAAGGATGAGACCAGCTACTTTATGGAGTGAACTATAAGTGACTTCGTTCTTTTGGTCTAGATCTAGATGCAAAGGTGAAATGTAACTTAGACCTGATCTTGGGTCCACTGTCCTTTCGGTTGTTAACATGCAACATGTTTGGTTATCAAGCTAAGAACCATGGCTTCAAACCTGGTCCAGGTGGTTTCATACTCAGGTAGAGACCGCACCAGTTTGTGGTGAAGGTCATGGTCAGATGAAATGAAGACTCTTGTCCATCCACTGAAAACATAGTGGACTGTGCTGAGGATGTGGATATAGCTCTTGCATTGTATGGTGTTAAAATCCTTCAGGCTTGTATGGAACAGAAAAGTCGTTGTTGTGATGTGGTCAGCACTAAAAAGGCTGCCGCCTCACACCTGTGGGCCATGCTCCATCTCTCTACATGCCAGCGTGGACTCTACTGCCTGCAGCTTAGGTCAGTTTTGCCTGTAGGCTTGATTATTACTCCATCTTAGCTCCTCTTAGTCTCTGACTCAAAACAACAAACTGAAAATTTGTTGGTCCAAACAAGATCCTGAACTTCAGCAAGCTGCTGTTGTACAAGTGCAACAATACTTTATGTAATCATTGCCCATGGATTTCTGTTCTGACCTCTTTTGCTATCATTGATTTTCTCGCTTGTGAAGGCACTTTAGCTTTGACTTTTGAGCTACAAGCCGTGGAAATATTGATATCCACTGAATACAAGTTTCTTGAGCAGCACACTTTTAGAATCACTCACAAACTTTATGGCAAGCGTCTTTTCATCACCCACTCCACAGCACCCACAGTTGTGATATACATTAAATAAAAATTGAATTAAAATGTGCAGTATTATCATGCAATTGTAACACAACTTACCTACATCTTTTTCTCCCTAACAAGACCGACAAATGCTTTACTTCCTTTCAGGATTCCAGTGGAATCCCTCACACGGATGGGATCCATCCATCCATCCATCTGTTCTCTTCTGCTTTTCCTTGTCAGGGTCACAGGGGTGCGGGCTGGAGCCTATCCCAGCTACCATAGGGCAGGAGGTGGGGTACACCCTGGAGAAGTTGCCAGCTGGATGCAGGGCTAACACAGAGAGACAGACAACAGTTTGCACCACATTCACACCTATGGGCAGTTTGGAATCACCAACTGACCTAACCCTTTGGACCTTTGGGAGGAAGCCGGAGTACCCATGGTTATTAAAGTTAACAAGTAAAATTAAAAACTAAAACTATACTGGACGTCTACAAGACTGAGTGCACTGCTTTCAATGCATCACACTGCTCTGCATCGCTTCCTGCTGTTTCAACCCCTCCATCAACTCAACATCCATCAGTAAGACTCCAGGGAGATATCTACTTATCACTGCCCAAATCACAACAGCAGTCGCCCCAGGGCACTTTATACTGTGGAATAAAGACCCCACAATAATACAGAGAAAACCCCAACAATCAAATGACTCCCTATGAGTGAGCACTTGGTGACAGTGGGAAGGAAAAACTCCCTTTTGAAGGGAGGAAACCTTCAGCAGAGCCAGGCTCAAGGAAGTGCAGGCATCTGACTGGATAGGGGTGATGGAAGGGACAAACATGAGTTATGTGACTGAATTGTGGCCTTTTGTTATGCTGTAGCTACCTAAGATGTGCCATACCTCAAAAATATTAAACATAGATATATCTCTGTGTTGAGAGACCCATTCCTGGGCACTGGAGGAAGATTTTCACAGACTGAAAGGCTAACTTTCACACATGCTGATGTGTAATGAACAAAATCTCATTAGGAACCTGATCCAGACTGGAGATTCAGAGTGTCAGGATAACTTGTCCTTTGTTGCTTTGAATGTAACAACTTTTAATTTAATCTATCTCTTCTGAACCTTGAGACCTAATTAAAGGAATACTTTACATTTATGGAGTACCCAATTAATTAGAAATATCGTGTTAGATACGGTTGGAACAAATTATTGATAGACTGATAGAGCAATGCATTAAACAACAAATGATCTCAGCAGTTAAGCTTACCATAATCACTACTTGATCAATCCTCACTGTGGTAGTTATCAAAAGAATAGGGGCAAAGTGGAAAAAAAATCACAGAGAGGAAATGGTGGGCAGGAAATGACACATTATTAGAAAATAATAATATTGTTAATGCACACGCACACACACAGTGACACCACAACCTGCAGTGACGCAGATAAGACATAGCAGTGCCTCAGCAGGTAGAGTGGGTCGTCTTCTAGGGCTAACAGAAAGGTCGGTGGTTTGGTCACTGCAGTCTCCTCCAGTCCAGACGCTGATGATACTGAACCTTAAAATGTAAGAGCGTGAATGTATGTGTGTGCATGATCATTTACTTAACAGATGTATGTAAGGCCTGTAGTAGTAAAGCATTTTGATTTCTCAGTCAGAGTAGAATAATGCAACATAAGTGCTGGTCTATTTACTTAATTCCTGATCTTTGCCTTAGTGGCATTTTTTTTTTATTGGTCTTGTCAGTGTCGCAGATTGTCATGATCCATTATACGTGATTGTCTCACAAAACACTGAGACTGCAGAATCACTGTATCATGATCACATCATTTTTTGTGCAAAAAGCATCACTATAGTGTTGCGTTGCCTCTTATTGCATTCCAGCCCCTGAAAAGGAAAAAAAATATACACTTTAGTTCAACAATTAAACCGTGTTTTGTTGTTTTTTTTCACCAACAAACCCACATGCTAAAGCTGTTAATGAATGAGTTGCTGTCCACAATGCAGGAGGATAAAGCCGGTGTGTTGCCAGGTAACAGCACTGTAGGTAGTTAACAGCTTGTCATATTAATGAGTGAGTTGTTGCTAGCAGCAGCCTCAGGTTTGTCTCTGGCCTTATAATAAGATTTTATGCTAACAGTCTGTAGAGTCAGAAGATGCACCTGCATTGGGCTAAAAATAAGTCTGTTCCAAACTTTATCGTAACAGACTTTTTCAGACTTCAGGGCGCGAAGGGCTCATTTATTCTTCTTCTCATTTCTCTGCAAAGGTGTCCATTAATTTTGCCTTTTTCTTTTGTCCCAAATTTTGAAAAGTCCTTAGTTTGGATCAGAGGAGAAAAAACAAAGCTTGCAGGTGCATACTCTGTTTTATATTCATTTTTTAATCTATATATGTTTTGAGGCCTCCTCACACCCAAGCATACAATATTAGATCTGTATCTTTAGCTGGCTTATAGTTTCCACCACTTTAACAGCTCTGAGGAGGTTTTCTGCTCACTAGGCTGTGTTGAGTTGAGTAGAGAGACACCAATTTGCAGGCACTTTGCAGGGGGAGGGGGGGGGGGGGGGGGGGGGGGAGTTCAATATGCTGCAAACTCTATATTTTCATTTCCACCTGTCAAAAGAGGAGGAGAAGTGTTCTGTTTTCTTTGCAAGATTATATCCTGTTCTCAGCAGGGAAACCTGACTCGCAGGATTATTGACTTTCAGGGGTCAGTCACCCCGCTCAAAACAAAAAGGGAAACTGTTGGGTGGTTGCTTTTCTGGCTGACTCTACAGGTCTGCTGCATCTACACAGTTTCTTCTGCTGTGACTTATGACACTATAAGACTGAAGCGCGCCACTAATAATGCAAGCGGTCTAATAACGACTATTGATACCTGTGTTCTGGTGTGACCACAATTACCTACACGTATAAAGAGAATAACTTTTAAGGGAGGGGTTGCATTTATAAAAAATTGTAATAAAACAGATTGAAACAGAAAGGCTTGTATCACTGGTTTATTTCAGAGGGAAGAGGTGCAAAGAAGATAACTGTTAAGCGCAGGATGAATACTGGGGTTCTTTAAAAGGGCTAACAGCTGGGTATGTATCCAGACAAGGTCCCGCAGTCTGTGTTTGCATTGCATGCAGTGCACTCACACTTCCTGGCCACAGGGTAGATGAAACCCCGTGGACATTGCTCTGTGTATTTCACCTCGTAGGACCACTCTCCGTTGCAGGTTTTCTGTTTGGGCCCGTCGTCAGTATGAACATAGTTGGGATCCTACCAGCAGAGCAGAGGGATCAGACACATGGATATAAACACAGTCAGTTCCATTTCTTTAAAGGGATTTCATTCCAACTTCATGAATCTGACAGCTTTTGACTTTTGCTGCCACTATTTAAGATTATTTAGCTTGTGAGACATTAAAAACTCAAAAGTACAAGATTTTAATCGGCTTTGCAAACATTTTAATAAATAAACTAATACCGGACTACAACCCTTTCAAAAGGGTCACTTGTGGTATCTTTTGATGTTAGAGGTCAATTTTAAATTTTCATTTTCTATATACTTGTACAAAGTTTGTATAATTTTGATGGTCATTGAATGTGTGCTTTAACCCTAAAGCTTGTATTATGTAATGATCTCTCATTATAGTATTTTTCTTTCTTTTCTGTTTTTATGGAGCAGTAGTATGTAGAGAGGGAAAACAGGTGGAGGGCCAGGGAATGACACAAGAGATGGCTTGGTGAGGATCAAATGTGTGCCCCTGCAGTAGCCTTTAAGAGGTCTGCTATAAAGTTGTAAATGTGATTTATCTTTAAAGAAAACTTATAGCAATACATAATCTTACTGAACACTATAAAATTTTCAGATTGCAACTATTATTGTCACCCCCAGCCACTCAGACTGGATGACTGCGAGGCTGGTTCTCGGTTCTGGAGGTTCCTTGTTGTTAAAAGGGAGTTTTTCCTTCCCACTGTCACCTAGCGCTTGCTCATGGGAGGTTATGTGATTGGGCTTTTCTCCGTAGTGCCTTCACCTTACAATAAAACACATTTAAGTGACAGCTGTGGTGATTTGTATAAATCAAATCGAAATGAATGATTTCCTCAGGAGCACTGAGCTCAGCTTAACACATCACGTCTAAGCAGAGTAAACGCACATGTCTCACCGGGAAAAACAGTGCACAAGTAGCACAAGTTAGAGGAGAGCGAGTCACTCTTCACCTTTTGGAAACACTGTCCTTCACAAATGGTGGTGTCGACGAACTCGGTGGTGCCGCAGGTGTCCACAGGGAGGCTGATGTTCTTTGGGCGACAGCCGGAGCTGCAGTCTTGCTCCGCCCCCGCCAGCGCCAGCACTGCTGCCATGACAACCAGCTGCATCCTCTGCCGGATGCACTACACGCTGCTGCCACAAGAGGTGATCGGGTATCAAATGAGGCGCTTTGAGACAATGTCAGAAGTTTAGTGTTGATTAAAACGCGGCTGTGTCATTATACATGATTATATTATGGAGATGTGGATTAATGGCGTTATTTCCTCTACAGAAGAGTAATGTATACACTCAAATGTGCTGGTGTGCATTTACAGGAGTGGTGGCTGATTTAGTGTGCTGTAAAACAAAATGTATTCTGAAATGAAAAGCGGGAAATAATAGTCGAGATTATTTTTTATTTTATTTTTCAGAGTTGGATCTTATTTAACTGCACATTTTTATTCATCTTGTAGACTAGATCCTAAAAGAGTGGTTCACTTAAATTAAAGCATCCAGCCATGTAAATATAGTCATAGCTTCTGTCTTTTCAGATTAAAAGACATCCATCTCTGAAATGTCTGTCTTCATCTCAAGGTAAAACGATAAATATTGTAAAACACGATTAAAACATGCATTCTTAATGGTATTAAAATGATTACATTTCCAAAGCTCAGCACATTACTCAAGAACAATAGCATGTCTTTCTGCAGAGGAGCATTCCTGACTGCAAACAGATGACCTTTAATCTAATAAAATACAGATAAAGCATGATTAGCTCAAGGCTCAGTGAGTTTTTCCACATCTCACACTGATATGTCATTTAAAGTATGCGGAAAAAGGGAAAGAAATATAAAATATATTTTGAAAAGCTTCCAAAGTTTCCAAAGCTAATAATAAATTTCCACTTTGAAAAACGTTTTTTAAATGCTAAGGCAATTATGGTTCGAGAAAGCTCAGAAGCAGTGCTTTAAATTAAATTATCAAATTAAATTTGGAAAATTTGACCTAAAACTACTATAGATACAAATGAATAACTGCAATAAAAATAAAAATAAAAAAACAAAGGAAAATTGTGGTTTAGCATGAAAACGATGAAAAGATGACAACCTATATCTTTTATTAAAGCCAGATAGAAAATGAATTCTATTATTAAACAGCCTAACAAAGATGATAAACGGATGATGCACAGAATTTAATAAACCTCTTCTAATTAACCCCTTTCATGCACACGGCTGTTTCTTCAAACTAAACCCTTAAATGACATCATTTAAACTCTTTGATATGTAATATCACAAATTTTTTTTTCTGTTAAACCTCTTTCTAGAGGAAGAACTCAATCTGCCACGTCCCCACAACTATGCTATAACCTCATTCTGTCTTTAACAGCAGATCCGTGACAACGTCTTCAGCAGCTTTCTTGTCATCTACATGAACAGGAAACATACCTGTAGAGCTCTGCTGATGCTTTGAACCTCTGCTGAGAGTCCTGTCCCTTCGTTCGCTCTCTAAACACCTGTAACAGCTTTCAACCTGCAGCTGTCTTTATTGCTTAAATAGCACCGCTCACAAATCTGTTTAATCCTATCAGCCTTGGCCAGGGCGATAGTTTTCCTACCTGTTTATACATAACAAGCAAATCCTCGTGTCTTTCCTTAAACACTGCAGGGACGTCCCATGGCTCGAGGCCTTTCCTCCTACAAACGAGGAGGAGTGGGGCGGTATCTTCAGAAATCTTGTTTAGGTTATGTGAGTGAAAGGCGCAGATGGACACCAGAATTATAAAAATAAAACTGCCCCCACAGTGAGATGGCAAACATAGATATGAGATGCACTAATTAATTTGTGTGCTCCATCTCCATTACTCCATTGTGTCATTTCTTCTTTTTCCACTGTGTCAACAGCGCTGGCACATATTGTTGTATTTATAGATTTATTAGACCACCTGCCATGAAAACAAGAAAACACAAACAATTTAGAGATCTGTCAAAAACTTGTTTAAAACGATAAATTATATTTGTTATTTGTGAGCCAAATAACAAACTGAATTCATGTTTTTATACCCAAATTTGAGGCGGCACGCCGGACTTCTCTGAGGAGTCAGGAATTAATCGAGCGTTACATTCAACCAGGAAAACTATATTTTCTGTTTACGAGTGTAAATAAATAACTGATTTGACATCTTAATCCAAAAATAAAATAATCTTGTTTATTTATTTATTTTATTAAACAGTAAATTTGAAAATTCTTGGGGAAAAAAATTAGCATTAAAAATATAAAGTGCTTGAGCACACAGGTGGATTAACCATTACAGAAACTTACAGAAACCAGTACTTACCAGCAATGTTAACTTAGGGCAGCATACGCTTTACACTCGATGATGGTCTCTTAAATTTATTAAGCACTGTGTGTACAGGCCAGCTATTATCCAATATGTAACATACAAGTAAAAGTAAGTAAAGTATTTTTCTTGTCATGATCTGAACAACGATATGTCACTGTCTGTGAATACAGGAAGTCTAATCAGCAAAAAATATTTGCTCTAAATGAATTGCTATTTTAGGACTGTTCCTTTTCCTTCACATCATTTTATCTCAATGAGGTAAAATTTCATTTTCTCTTGGACCCAGTGATAGAAGGCACATTAAAGAAACAGCACTTCCACAATGAGCTGATTTCTTTCAGGTAAAAAGGTTTATTGTCTGTCTGGTGTAGCAGACATTCTGACTCACAGCAGACACTCATTAGTGTATTAAAGAAGGCTGCATTATCTCAGGGGAAAGCCATTGCTGTTGGTAAGTGTCCTGTATGTGTTAGCTCAAGGCAGATACTTAAAAAAGTAAACTCCTAAAAACAAATGAATTTGTTTCGTTGATTTGCATAAAAACATGGAGGAGGACTATATTGTGGTGCTCAGTGCCTAGAATTACTGTTAATGTGAGATGTTTTATTATAAAAGGATAATTTGAATGCATATGGCATAGCTGAGCAACTGCTACAGAAACACTCTTGCATCCCTCGCCTCTGTGATTATCTTCATCCAGATGTACATCTTCAGAGCCCTGTGTTGTCCTTGGTTACATTATGCTTGTTAAAATTTAAAAGATTTGATTTTTTGGTTGTTTTTTTGTGCATTATTAGGATCCACATTAGCATCAGTGTTAGTTACTCTTGATGATGTCCTCCATTCATACGTACGCATAGAATCAACATTCACAAACACATGAACATAAGTAAAAAAAGCAAATCTTTACAGATATTATTTTGATTCATAAATAAATCTTATTTCCTCTATAATGTCATCTCATCCATTTTCTTAAATGCTTCTATACTATTCAAGGTTTCAGGGGTAACTGGAGCCTATCTCAGCTTAATAAATCTTGAAACTGCTCCTACTTTAAATGAATCTTATAATTTTATGTTGACCATTTCGTGACAGCATTCTATATAGTACATTATACATTTATTCCAAGTCACGTTTATAATATATTCCTTATTAAAATAGAATATTCTGACTGATGTTTAGCGGTTCGCCAGTCCAGGTTACATTGCATTGCAGCGTGCAACATGCAGTTTTATTCTGTACTACTTGTGCACCTATGTGAAAAATAGTTTCCACGGGACTACCTACAGTAAGCACACAACGTCAGCAGCTTGTAGATCCACATTCAAGTAATCTTAAGTGATCATTTTCTGTATGACTTTATCTGTCTTTCACATTGTTAGGAAGGAATTTTGGCCAACTGTTCTTTACAGCACTGCTTCAGTTCATTGATATTTGTGGGCATTCGTTTAAGCTCAGCTCTATCCAGTCTCATCTGTCCAAAGGATATTGTTTCTGAACTCTTTAGTTTGTTCAGATGCAGCTTTGCAAACCAAACTGTGCTGCCACGCCCTTATCAGAGAGAAGAGGTGTTCCCCTGGTAACCATTTCAAACAAGCCATACTTGTTCAGTCTTTTTCTAAATGTGCGGCCATGACCTTTAACAGTTAACATGCTAACTGAGACCTGTAGAGTCTGATATGTAGCTCATAGGTTTTAGCATTTTCTCTGAGCATTGTACTTTCTGACCAGGGGGTGAATTTTCTTGGATATTATGTTAACACATCTGTAAATCCGATCAGAAAAGAGCAAAAACTTCACTGCTCACCTATGTATTACAATAAAGTTTAACTTTGAGGCATGTATGAAAAAAAGTGGATTTCAATGGAGAAGTAGGCAGGAAGTCAGCTTGCTAGTTTCTTTCTAAAGATGATATGCCATACACCATGATCTGACCCAGGGAGGAAGTGTGGTTTCACATAAATATAGACAGATAACTAGACAGCAGTGATGTCTGTGAGGTTAGTGAAGTTGGGGTAGCTTGCATAAAATGGCGTGCTACCTGGTGGCTAGCTGCAGAGCTGTGGTTGGGATAATATAAACATGTGTCCTTTTTTTAATGTGAGGTTCCCTGATGGGAAGAGCCAGATGCAATCCTTTTGCAGGAATGTGATTGAAATAGAATATCTGAGAGGATCCATTCACATTCACACAAGGTTAGTTATTAACATGCCGCTGTGTGTTTGGATGACTCGCTATGAAAGATTCCTGATCCTAAGCCTCATTTACCGATTTAAATCTTAGAGTGACTCTTCCCTGAAGCATTCAAAAATTTGCGATTTGGCACCGTGAGCCCGTGGGCTGTAGGTACATCGTAAGGTTTTAAAAACTGAGTTTAAAACCGAGCTGCAAATTTTATTTTAATAATAAAAAGCCATAGAGGCAGATTATGACCACTGATTGTTTTAGGGGTTGTTTATATTAAATAAAATATTTAAAAAATGTTGTTAAAAACAACATTCTTAATAAACGTAGCAGGATCTATGACTTAGAAGCAGTATTGTAATGTAATCACCTAACAAGTGGATCCAACTCTTTGAGTAAGTATAAGTATTTTTGCACTCGGGTACAGCTTTAGATTTTATAGAGCACATACAGATTCCAAGATTCTGTGAATCTTCGAGAAATTCAGTGTTCTGCTGCTGCACTCGGTAAAAGTTAGCACTGCACCACAATCTGGACAAGCTGCAGTGACAGTAGAATTTAACTACCTGGGCAGCAGCCATCACAATTCATCCAACTGCTGCTCCGTCTGCCCTTGCAGCCACTAGGGAATCAGGTTTCCCGGGCATCCTGCTAAAGTGCCGTACCTGCTTAATAAGGCTGCAAGGACTTTTATTGAGTCAACCCCATCCTCTGCGGTGCTACTTCTTTTTAGGAAATTTTGGCAGAAATGCATCATGTTTTTTGTGCATTTTGCCCTGAATGAACACTAGGCAGATTTGATTAATCTTATATTTAGAGCAAAACGGATCATTAGTCATTTTCTGAGAAAAAAATGGTATAACAGATGGTAGTTCCTCTTAAAAAAAAGCACATCTGCTCTGAAAATTGATTAATTAATTGCGGTGCTGAAATTATATCATCCATTCATGCATTCTGTCGATATGCTGGCTATCTGGATAGAGAAGGTAAGACTTTGAAATTCATGTCTGCATCACAGTCTGAAAATCAGCCCATATGCTCTGCAGCAAGCTAAAAGAAAACACCAGCAAAGAATTGCTGAAATTAGCAGGATGTTTCCAAGAGAAAACACCTTTTTTCCCTTCCTACAGCCATGAGAAGAAGTCCTGCCCTGTCACATCAGGGTCCACTGGGAATCAATTGGGCAATGATGAACTGTTCCCGGGCCCGTGATGATATTCTGCTTCATAACTCGAAGCACTGCTATATAAAATGGGCTCCTTTGGGTGTAAAAGCTCATAGCTCTAGATGAAGCCACATATAAAACAGCTCCAAGTCATACATCTTGCTGACATCACAGATTTCATCCATGGGTCATTGGTTTTAAGCTTAGGAACAGAGTCCCATTGCTTTCTCTCTTTTCTTTTTATCAGTGCAGCATAAACACTGCCATAACCGCATCAACACCCTGCACAAACATGCTCAGTCACACCTCGCCCCTGTCCTCTGCTGCTCCGTCTGCTAATGCATGAAACACAAGCAGACTTCTTTAAACTCGTTTTGTCGCATGCAAACCCCCCTAAAAAAAACAACAACAACAAAAAAGACTCAGCAGTGCCCTGAACGCACTGCATCACCCCACACTCACGCTCTCTCCCGCCTTCCACCTGGTCTAAACAAACGCCTCCACAGCACTGCCAAGGACAAGACTTTTGTTTGGTGACTGCGCTGGATATTTCTGCGTGCAGGTCGAGTGTGGAAGTAGGTGGTAGGTGTGCTTATGTGTATCGACCGCTGATGATTCTTTGCTGACTTCTGTTGTCTACCTTTTCTCCTTTACATTTTAATATTCAGTCTCATTTCATTATTTGACTTATTTTAAGCAAATATAAATGTGTTCTTTTATTGGTTATAAAGTCCTTAAAAACAGCTAAAGATGTAAAATACTGCTCAACAAAAAATTAAAGGAACACTCGGAAAGCAAATCAGATACAAATGGGGAAAAAATCATGCTGATATCACTGCTGTGAT